AAATGAACATATAAACAGATTAAATACAGCAACACACCCATTCCTGGCAGCGAGATGCAGAGGGGTGCAGCCTGAGATGTCCTGATAGTTTGGATTGGCTCCTCTCTTTAGCAGCAGGACCAGACACTCCAATGAGCCACAGCTGTGCAGAGAAAACAGCGTATTTAGTGCAGAACAACAGACGAGGCAACTCTCTGCATGTACACTGAATGAGAGACTGTTTGTCATCAGTTTGACAAACTTGTGATTGTGGTACGTTACTTTTTTAGATCTTTTTCACTCAGGACGACTCGTGATTTAAGAAGGGGGACAAAGTTGTTTGGACAGCTGTTTTCAGAGCCGAGCCACATGACAAATATATACAAATATATACAAATATATACAATATAAATGCACTGTATTTCACTGAGCAAGCACCATTACTAGGAAATGTGCAGACGTAAAGTGGGAACTACTTATTTTACTGATTTTGGAACAAAAAGTGATCCAACGGCCTTGGTGTTACGTTTTGATTTCACTAAATGTTTACCAGAGACTGAACCAGTGACAGCAAGCTGGACAGCTAGCATCACATTAACAGGACTTACAGCACAACTTATTCCACAGTTTAGAGTTTATTTTGAAACAGAAATTGTTTAAAAAGGACTACTTTAAAGAACTCTTTGCAAAGTAAGTAACTACGAATTGAATGTCAGTTACATTTGTGATTTGATTGCAGCTGTAAAGTCTCTCTTACTTGGCTGCGATGTGTAGCAGACTCCTCTTCACTCGTCCAAAAGCATAATTCACATCAAACTTGGAGTTGAGCAGCAACTCTGACACTGATCTGAGGGACGAGTGAACATGTAAAACATGTCAATCCTTCTGCAGCCGTAGATTAGATGTGCAGTGGCAAGTATATTTTTCTACTGCCTAAAGTAAGCAGACATACCATAATATACGTTTCCATCTAAAGCACAGTGAGCCAAAATGAGCACATAAATAAAAGTGAATGAATGAGTGATGAGTACAGTACCTGTGCTGGTCCGCCATGACCATCGGCATGAGTGTGTACACCGCTGTCTCGTTGTCTGTGGGGAGGGACAATAATGCAGAAAATATCAGTGAAGCTAACAACTGACAAAGACATTACAATTTATTAGCAACCATTCATCAATTTGAATTACTTGATAACAAAAATCAATTGTTTCCTACTGGAAAATTGGGTAAAAGGAATTTTATTTGATGTCTTAGTTTAGATTGCGTGTTTACCTTTTTATGTGACATTACTGTACTGAGACTGTTTGTTTGTTTTCTCATTTAGTTCAAAAGCTTTCGTTTTAATATGACGTGTAACATACCAGGGGAACACCACTGCAGGGATAAAACAATCCTTCCAAAAACTTTCACTTGTGTCTAACACAGTCCAACATGTCCCAGAGGAGTTGAGCACATGACGACATCGTTTTCATCGTCGTTTAGCCTCGACGCGTCAGCTGTCATTGCTCACGTTAAAGCTAGAAAAGGTGAGTGATATCCCATCATGAACAATAAAAAAGGTTTACTTAAATAAAGTTCAGAGCGAGGTCATCAGCAAATTGTCGTTTATTTCCCCTCAAAATCTTTTGTTTCACTACATGTGTTTTACCGAGTCGCCTGCCAAACCAATCATGAACAGCACAGCTCTGACTGGGACAAAGCACCTGTTACCTTGGAGAGACAGTAGTTGATGCCAGCCTGCATTCACCCTCTCACTCACGTGACAAACAGCTGTTCATCTGGGGGTTTGTTTATTTTATTCATTTCAGTTTGACTTATATGGTGCAGAACCACAACAACTCTCAATTTGAGGCACTTTATGCCCCGAGTATTTTCTTTTCAGTCCTGATGTGATTACCTCTCTCCTTTGCGTGTCATTAACCTGACTGTACTTTACCTGATGCTTCTACTTTGTGTTTGGTCCCGTTTGCTGTCTGTGGGCGCTCTGTCCTCTCCCTCCCTTCCTCTCAAAAGGCCACAGCCGCTGGCTGCCCTCCCTACACCTGCTTGTGCTGGAGGTCTCCTCCTGTTTCATCTGATTGCTGCGGATTCAGTGTGAAATCTTGGCCAC